AGTTAGGGAAAACAAAAATTTCAAAGAAAGACTACACAAAAATCCTCAGCAAGGAACAAATTCGTGTAACTACAAACACGAAGACATAAGGGTGGTTGCTACTCTGAAAGCCTTATCACTTCCTTAACCGTCACAAAATATTTTTCTGAGAAATGAACACTAGTGTTGAATCAACTGAACTTAGGATTGGAGAACATCACGAAGAATGGGTGGGCACCAATAAATTTTGAGCCTAAAAAATCTTTTTTTCTGAAAACCGTGAACCAGGCCACGTTACAATCTTCAAAAGTCCTAATTGAAGCAAGGTTATTTCGAAAGCATACTTCAACGAGATTGCGTTCCTGGCTCTCATAAGTTTTGTTAAATATTCATGTTGGTATCATATGCTCTTACTATACAAAAATAAATGCTGCTCTAACTCGCAAAGTTTGTGCGATATTTTTTCAAAATCTTCAAGACTTACATAATTGTTGCATTCGAATTTTCATTCTCAGAATAAAATTTTTTTCTACTTGTAATACATTTGTTTGATATCAAGGAAGCTTACATACAAGCACCAGTGATGATTTTAATCTTTTGAGGTCTGAAACTTTGTTAAGTAATTGGCGAACCATGTCTAAGAATGATCATATACAGGGGCATGTCACTTGAAGATTTTCAACATGATCAGGTTGTTGCCTCCATAGTTCGTTTTCCCTCATGGGGAAAATTTGAGAATTCTTTTGTGCCAAATATAGTCAATATGGGGCAGTCACATCAAGATTCGATGAATCTCTCTAAGAGTTTGAAGACACTAGAGCATTTTGGATGCCAGGTCTTTTGTAAAATCCTCTTGAGACGATTTCTTTTCATCAACCATATAACTTGGGGCATTTTAGAAGTGAAGGTATTTGCAAGAATTGTCGTGCGTCACGCAGCTTATCAACAGTAAACTTGGGGCATCCAAAATTAGTTCCAGGGGCAATCCAGATTTGTCAAGATATGTGATCTGCTTTGCACACATTATCAGATGGTGGAGTTCCCCAGTATCTCCAGCTAAGCAAGATTTTTCTCCAGCTGAAGTGGAGTTCATGTTGTTATCCTTTCAATGGATTATTGAGGTTAGAAGATTTGACTTTGGGTTTTCTTCTAAAAAATATCTTCCTCCCCGGAGAGATCAGAGCCTTATAGCAGAAATATGCTTTGTCGATGGCTTTTATTCTATCTCCAGTAATGTTCTTATCTTGTTGAGGTTAGCGGAGTATCTGGTTGTACTATGATGTCTTATCATCTCCAATTTATATCTTCTATCTGTTTTGTCAAACATATACATGACATTCATTTATTCACACTTACATCATGCACACACATTCATATTTGTTGATGTTATTGGGTTCGTATACCTTAGTTATGTCAATTCAAGTAGCATATTTTCTCTTTCAAAATAGAGTGTCAACTTAAGCAGAAAGTGCGTCTCCTTTCTAATTCCCCACTAAGCTAACTCTCGTGGAAGAATCTTGCTTTAGCTTTCCTTTTCCATCTCTGGATAGGATAAATACCCAATTAAATTGTTTCCTCATTGGGTGGAGTCTCGTTTGATTGTTTTCTCTCCAGTTTATTCCTGGATTGAGCTTTGTCTCTTGCGAACGCTACCCCGTGGATCTCTCTAGGTTGTGAAACCTAGATGGAGAGTGCATTTATTTTGCACATTTAAATACTTGGTATCCTCAAGAAGAATCTATTCATGGTTTCCCATTGAAGATGAACTTTGTTTCCCGGTAGTGTTGTTGCAACACTCTTTTGGAATATCAACATGACAACAAGTGGCGGACTCTTCATGAGCAGCTTGTATGATTGATATTTTTGAAAACAACAAGCGGAGGTCTCTTCATGAGCAGCTTGTGTGTTATAGACATCCTTGGAAAACAGCAAGTGACAGACTCTTCATGAGAAGCTTGTGTGCTTTAATATCCTTTAAAGACAGAAAGTGGCGGTCTCTTCATGAGTAGCTTGTGTGTTATTGGTATCTTCAAAAGTAACAAGTGGCGGACTCTTCACGAGCAGCTTGTGTGCTTTAATATCCTTTAAAGACAGCAAGTGGCGGTCTCTTCATGAGCAACTTGTATGTTTATTAATATCTGTATGAAGACAACAAGTGGCAGACTCTTCATGAGTAGCTTGTGTACTTTAATATCCTTTAAAGACAGCATATGGTAGTCTCTTCATGAGCAGCTTGTGTGCTATTGGTATCTTTGAAAGTAACAAGTGGCGGACTCTTCACGAGAAGCTTGCATGCTTTAATATCCTTTGAAGACATCAAGTGGTGATCTCTTCATGAGCAGCTTGTGTGTTTATTAATATCCGTATGAAGACAACAAGTGGCAGACTCTTCATGAGCAGCTTGTGTGCTTTAATATCCTTTGAAGACAGCAAGTGGAGATCTCTTCATGCGCAGCTTGTGTGCTTTATTATCCGTTGAAGACAGCAAGTGGCGGCCTCTTTATTTGAGCAGCTTGTGTATCCCCAACAATATGTTATTTTGACAGCAAGTGGCGGTCTCCTCATGAGCAACTTGTGTGTTATTGGTATCTTTGAAAGTAGCAAGTGGCAGACTCTTCATGAGCAGCTTGTGTGCTTTAATATCCATTGAAGACAGCAAGTGGCGGCCTCTTTATTTGAGCAGCTTGTGTATCCCCAACAATGTGTTATTTCGACAGCAAATGGCGGTCTCCTCATGAGCAGCTTGTGTGTTATTGGTATCTTTGAAAGTAGAAAGTGGCGGACTCTTCATGAGCATCTTATGTGCTTTAATATCCGTTAAAGACAGCAAGTGGCAGCCTCTTTACTTGAGCATCTTGTGTATCCCCAACAATATGTTATTTCAATAGCAAGTGGCGGTCTCTTCATGAGCAGCTTGTATGTTATTGGTATCTTTGAAAGTAACCAATAGTAGACTCTTCATGAGTAGCTTTTGTGCTTTAATATCCGTTGAAGACACCAACTGGAGGCCTCTTCATTTGAGCAGCTTGTGTATCCACAACAATATGTTATTTCAGCAGCAAATGGTATCTCTCCGGAAAAGTCCCGCAGAGAAGTTTGTTATGAAATCTCTACCTTCAGAAATCGGTAGTTCACTATCAGTAAAAGTTAGTGCATCTTTTTGTCTACCTTTGACCCAGAGTTGTAAACTCACCATCATCTTGGGTCAGTAACCATCTATCCTTTCATAACCTATGCAAGACGTTTTCTTTGTTAGAGTCATAAAATTGTCTTCTCTCGAAGTTATTCCCATAATAAGAGTCTCATTTGAAGTCTATGGCTTCGTTTCTCCAGTACAGTTATAATCTCTTTCCCTGTGGATTATTTTATCATGTGCTTGATTTCTCCAGCATTAGTTTATCTCATATGGCATCATTCTCCATAAGATTCAAATATTACATTCACATCTTAAACACAATGGCGGTATCTTAGGGGAAACTTTGTGTATTCTGTATTTAAGTACCTTCAATCTCGTTGAGACGAAGATTTTAATCTTCATATCTCCGGATAGAAGAAACTTAAATATGGGCAGCTGTCATACCCCAATTTTTGACCTAAGATCTCATCTTCATTTGCATTGTTTTATATATACATCAAGGTCACGAAATATGGTCGGCTTCAAACGTTTTACCTTCGAGCATAGCCTGTGCAGAGATTATCGAGTGTTGTGAACATTTTATCTTATGCATGACTAACTTCTAATCAAGCACGAAGTGTATGTTTTTTGTTTCTCTGATGTCATGTGCAGAGACAGGTCTGAATCAAGAGCATCAGGCGTCGCACCTCAATTAGGATATTTGAGTCCCTCAAGCCAGACGCACAATTGATTATTGATTCTCGAAGAATGATTCATCAAGGCACAACTTCTACAAGGACCATTTCTAAAGGTAAATTCTCATTCGATTCAAGAATTTGATACAAACTTCAAAGCAAATTTCAAGATGATTGATTCAAGGATTTTTGTCATTCAAAAGTGGAGAATGCATCACATTAATTTTTAGGCGTAATTCAAGATTTTCATTCCAAGTATTCAAGACAAATCCATTCCAATTCAAATTCACCAGAGCTTTGGATAGTGTTTATTTCCCTACTGTCTGTCAAGAGAATTGGGGTTTTTCTTCCTTCGTGAAGTTTGAGTTTCAACCGAGACTCATTGGTTCTTCATGATAAAGCTATTTTGGTTATACGTATATCCACATTCATTTCTCAAAAGTTTCTTCAAGCTAATTGGATCAAGGTTTCTAAAGATGGGATGTTCATGTATTTGGTTTTGCTTGGAAGTTAAGTGACAAGTTTACTCGACAACATTCAAGGGAATTTACAAAATTCCTTATGGATAATTCTCGAAGTTTTAGAATAAATTTGTATTCAAGTCCAAAATTCTATCAAAGACATTCAAGATTTCCAACAAGTCATATCATGATTCAAGAACTTATTCCATATGACTTTATCCTATTAACTTGAAAGATTCATCAACCAAAGTTTTCAAATGAGAATATTTCAAATATCATTCACAAAACCCAAGACACATCCAAATTCAAGCTTACATGAAATTCACCATAAGGCATAGATTAATTCAAGTCCAAGCCCAAAATTCAAGGAAAACTTATACTTTTCCAATTCTTGAAAGAATTCAAGGTACAAATTCATTACAAGAGATTCATTACAAGTTCAAAATCACAAAAGGAATGCAAAGTCGAATTCAAAAAAAGATTGGATACCAAAGTGGTCCAAAGTTCAAGTGGATACAATGTCACAATGACTCAAGTTCTCCCTAAGCTTAATTCCAAATATCATCATTTTGATTCATAATTCCTTCTAAAGAACACAAGTTAATCAAGATTTGTTTACATCATTTTACACCATGAAGTCATATGCTAAAATCCTAAATCTTCACATCTTGTCTTCAAGAGTGCTAACCCAAATCCATGCTTCTCTCCATCTTGACCCCTATTTCTGAATTTGTCCAAAAAATAATGTTATCATACTCCAGCTTGCACCAAAAAACAGCCTTGTTGTTGCTGCCAGATATGAACAAAAACCATGCCATGTTGCTGTCCTAATCTGCCCTGGAAAGACAGTCCAAAATTCAGCCCATAAGACAAAAAAACCTGCACCTTTGTTGCTACAAAATCTGTCAAAAACCAGCCTATAAAACTCCAAACATTACCCATAATGGTTAAGTTTTTCCTGCATCAAGAAAGCATAAGGCAATTGACATAAACTAGAATTCAACTGATATTTGGCTCCAATTTTCCCTTAGATTCTATCATACATTCATTATAAAAACAGAAGCAAATAGAAAAACAGAGGACATGATCAATAATAACCTCTAAGCTTCCTGCAACAGAATATGAACAACACAGAAAGATCTCTCACAAACACCTAGCAAGAACTTCATAAATTTCAACCTCACTCTATTCACCCTTAACCCCCACAAACTCATCCCTCTACAACTAAACAAATACACTTCAAAATACCTACAGAATCTAATTCAATACTCAACTTCTTAACTTCCTTCAAAACCTCACAATAGTCCTCACCTAATCAGTTAGACCCCAGCATAACAATAAAAGAAGAAGAAGAAAGGGTCTGAGCTACCTTCTTGTGAAAACTCCGTCGAAGAGGCTCCAATAGGTAATGTTTCTTGCATAAATTTTACACCTCTGCATTTATTCACGTTCATAACTTATTATCGTTTCATACTTATTCATTGTGATCTAAATCAAATCGCTTATTTATGTTTCATGATACCTTACTATTTTGTTGAATAAATGATTTCTTGTAGTACCGTTTGTTATGCTATCATTTGCAAGTCATTTGTGGACATATTCATGTTATCATTGTTCTATCCCTGTATTTAAAAAATATTCCATTTGTCATTTCATAAGAAAATAGAATCTTTGAATGAAAAATTGTCTAAAAGAAAAGTATAAGTGTCGTTAGTTTATTTACCATCGAGTAGTAATCATGAGCTAACCGTTAGCATATAGAAGATTAAGACGAGCGCTATCACTATTGTTTCCATAAGTTCCCAGGCGAGGCAGAACTGTGAGCATAAAACAGGGCACTGAATCATTGTCGTTGCTTTTCTTTGACATGGGTAGTGCAAACCATGTGATTGTGAGAGCTGAGATATTATTGCCATGAAAACAGAATTGAGAGGTGGTTGCCATCATAGAACAGAAACAAATAAGTCATGAATATGGAAGGGTTACGATTTGGTGGACAGAGAGATTAAGGATTAATGTAGAAGGGTTTGTTGTTGCTGTTATCACGAAGACGAGTCGAGAGATTGAGGTGAACTTGATGTTTTTGTTCATGTTTGATATTACGCAAAAATCGCGGTGTAGATGAGATAGAGAAGAAGAGCGGCGTGAGGAGGAAGAGGTTTCCGATTCAAACTTCCAAACACTAATTGATAAATACTCTCACCGATTTTCCCCTTTTCTTTTAATATAATTTTTTATTCCTTGGTTAATTTGAGTAAGTGACAAAAAAAATTAATTAATATGTTTTAATTTGTTGGGTAAGAATAGAGATCCTTTTGGGCCTGTCCTGAAGCTCATCATCAATTTTTTTTAACTAAAAGCCTAAAAGAATAGAGATCCTTAGGATTTTAATTTATTTTAGATTTAATTCACTAATTTTAAATTTTTATTTAGTTTAGATTAATTTAGTAATCTTAGAATTATTTTTATTCTTAGAATTTGTAGTTAGCTTAAAATTATTTTAGTAAGTAATCTTAAATTTATAATTTAGTTCAAATAACTTCTTTAGATGATTAGTTACATTCTCTTTTATTTATATTTAAATATCTCTGTCATTTTAATTTCTCAGTGTCTTTTGGCCATTAATCTGTTTTGTTCGATTTATTTTTCTTGTGAATTTTCGAATGCTTATATTTTGATGTTCATTTATCTTGCTTTATCGATTCACTCTAAGGGAAAGAATTAAATTTGTTGACTTCATGTCATCAAATACATCTTATACGATTGTGCGAATCCCTTCATTCATTTTTTGTTTTTACTATTTTATTAATCTTAAGTTAATTTTCCTAAAAGACTCAATTTTAAAACTCACATCTTTTAAGTCAAAACTTAGACACTAGGTCGTCGTATCTTCTAAATCTCATTCACACCCATTTTGACCAAACAAACCATTTTAACCAAACAAACACATTTAACCAAAAAACAGATATCTCAAAAGGTTCATGCGGAGTACCGCAGATGCATTGGGTGCTAGTACTTTCTCATTGTATAACCAACCCTCGAACTTTAGATCTCTTTCAAAAACGCATTGTATTTTCATTGCTTTTAAGTATTATTTTACATTGCATATTTTAGGGTTTTATTTCGCTCTTTTCCCTTTTTCCTTGGAAATAATAAAGCGCGGTGGTGACTCTTGCTTATTTGCGAGTCAAGTTAATTAATAGCTTGATCTCCGATTTTCACCGCTACAGCTGTAATTCCAAAACAAGAATAGTCAGGCAAAAAATAGGGATAACAAATCAAAAAAAAGAGGTCACTACAAATCCTCAACAACATGAAAAATGTTGCAAAAATGACTGCCTTCACAAACAAACTTAACTTGTCTGAACCATCACCAAAACGTCATTCCATATTCAATGGGAGTTCAAACTCATAATTAACTGAGCTTAGGACTGAAGAACTTCATGGAGAATGGGTTGGGTACAAATACACTTTGAGCCTTATCCTTTGTTTCTTAAACCGTGAACCAGGTCACACTATAACCTTTCAAAAGTCCTAATTGAAGCATGGGTTAGTTCAAAAGCATATTGTTACCAAAGGTGTCCTGACTTCTGTAAGGCTTACTGCAAATCTTGAATTGAATTCACATTCTTACAAAACTCTTTATTTGCTAAATCGCATTTTCAAAACTTTAAGACAAGCATAACTTTGCATTATTTGAATATCGTTGTTTGCATATGGCTAATTGTTTGACCGCGGAGAAATTCACACGACGAATATACAGTGAATAAAAACTTTCTCAGTGAACAAAATCACTTCAAATGGGATGACACTTCCAATGAGAAATCTCCTACAAGCAAGGGGGCATGACATGTCACTGTCCAACTCGTCTGGGGGCAGTCAAGTCAAGATTCCAAGGAATCTCCCAAGAAATGTTGAATAACCAGGGGCAGGTCTATATCTGAATCACTTGGGGCATTGAACGTGAATTCCTGCAAAGGGTCACGTACGGTCAAGCAAACATTTTCTGGAAGTACTAAAACACTTACTACTTGGGGAAATGACAAATCTCCATAAAGTCCTTTTCATAAAGTGATCCCTAGTCAAGTCTCCATAGAGTCATCTCTATGAGGTTATCCCCACAGAATAATCTTCACAGACAAGGGTCCAAAACCCTCAAGGCCAAATTCATGGATATTCCCAAAAAATTGGATCCATGCAATCCCCAGCTAGAGTTTCAAATCTCCAGAAAACCTCTCCCCAACTGAGTTGATCTCAAGAATCCTCGAGGAGCTCTACCAAAAGAAAACACCTCTCTAACAGATTAGCAATAGGGTTTATTTCCCTAACAAACGGAAAAATTCACCAGCTTAAATTTACCTCTCAGACTATCACAAATCAAGGTACTACAACCCCCCCCCCCTTCCCCAGTAGACTTTTCTACAATCCCCAATAAGTTACTGCAAAGCCTGGAAGACAGCCAGATAACAGTTAACTTCTTTATCCCCAACAAGTTGTTAACTTCCTTTCTCTCCAATCAAGAGACAACTCTCCAGTAGAGCAACGGACAACTAAAACTCCTAAACTCTTTTCCCCAAGTAAGAATCAACACTCTCCACAGAGTTTTCCATCAAACAAATTCAATATTCCCCGGCAGAGTTCTCCTCAAACAACAAAATGGGAATCCCCAGCGGAAACATTCTTCGAAGATACACATACTCTTCATCTTCAACAATAATCTGAGATTTAACTTCCTAAGGCTCCCCAGCATTTGTCAAGGAGTTTATTTTCCAAGACAAAGCAACATTTCACATTTCATGCATCATATTGCATACATGATAAATGCATACAACATAATCTCATTTATTTTGAGAACATCATCAAGTCATGCATACATCTGCATGCAACTAACCCTCTTCCTTGCAGGGAAAAGTCAAACAACAAAAGTACTTTTTGGAAAATACCACAACCATTTTTAAAAGGTCAGAGATTAATTCCTGAAACAAGACATGACAATTGTCTTAATGACCAATAAAAGTAAGTTCCAGATTAATACCTGAAACAAGACAGGAAAACTATCTGTGGACTACTGATTATAGATTAATACCTGTAACAAGCTAGAAAAGCCATCTACATGAGCAGATTGAAGATTAATACCTTTAACAAGCCAGGAAAACTATATTTCTTTCAAAAGGTCAGAGATTAATACTTGAAACTAGACAGGACAACTATCTCAACGACCAACAAAAATGTAGCTTTACATGGGCTCAACATGAAGCAATCTTACACGGATTCCTTCTCATACATTTCCAGATGAAGTTTTACACGGACTCATCATGAAGCAACCCTACATAGGTTCCTTCTCATTTTCAGATGCAGTTTCACACGGACTCATCATGAAGCAATCTTACACGGATTCCTTCTCATACATTTCTAGATGAAGTTTTACACTGACTCATCATGAAGCAACCCTACCCAGGTTCCTTCTCATTTTTAGATGCAATTTCACATGGACTCATCCTGAAGCAACCCTACCCAGGTTACTTCTCATTTCTAGATGAATTTTTACACTGACTCATCATGAAGCAACCCTACCCAGGTTCCTTCTCATTTTCATATGCAGTTTCACACGGGCTCAGCCTGAAGCAACCCTACCCAAGTTCTGTCTCATCTTGAAGCAACCCTACCCAGGTTCATTCTCTTGAATTTCCAGATGAAGTTTTACATGGACTCATCCTGAAGCAACCCTACCCAGGTTCCTTCTCATAAATTCCCAGATGCAATCTTTCATGGATTCCTTCTCATCCTGAAGCAACCCCACCCAGATTCCTTCTCTTGAATTTCCAGATGAAGTTTTACACAGACTCATCCTGAAGCAACCCTACCCAGGTTCCTTCTTATTTCCAGATGAAGTTTTACACAGACTCATCCTGAAGCAACCCTACCCAGGTTCCTTCTCATAAATTTCCAGATGAAGTTTTACACGGACTCATCCTAAAGCAACCCTACCCAGGTTCCTTCTCATAAATTTCTAGATGAAGTTTCACACATACTCATCCTGAAGCAATCCTACCCAGGTCCCTTCTCATAAATTTCCAAATGAAGTTTTACACATACTCATCTCCCATATATTTCCAAATGAAGTTTCACACAGACTCATCAGCCTTATCCAGGCTCCCTCTCATATATCTCCTAAAGAAGCCCTACATAGGCTCATCATAAAGCAATCTTACACATATTCTTTCTCGTAAGTTTCCAAATACAGCTTCACGCGGGCTCATCATAAAGAAATCTTACACAAATTCCTTTTCATATATCTCCAGATGCAGTTTCACAGACTCATCAACCCTACCCAGGTTCCTTCTTATAACTTTCCAAACACGACTCAACACGGGTCCATTCCAGCATGGCATTCAGAATTAAATCGACCAAAGATTTATTTTGACACTTCTCCCAGTTACAGTAAAGCTTAGGCTTGGTTTAATTTATATCAACAATCACCTTTAGATGGCATCTGTAAGCCCATCTCCGACAACTCTCCATCATATCTCCAAATGGAATCTTTAAGCTCATTCCCTACACAATCAACCACCACATCATCGAGTGCAAATTTCTGGGCACTTTAGTGTTCAATCATCTTCCACCTTCAAGTCACGAATGGCAGACTCGCCAATCTAACTCTTCAGGTTTAAGAAGATTGAACAGGGGCAGTTGTTATACCCCAAAGTTTTCCCTCTCATTTCTCAAGGCATTTCTCAAGTATTTTCAAAAGCTCAAGCTTGCGCAAGTATAAAGCAGACAAAAAGGGCAAAGCAGATAAAAATGATTTTTTGAAGAAAAGAAAGTTTCCTTTGATTCATTCTAGCTTCTATTGGGCATCTAGGCTTCCTTCTAACAAGCTTGATTCATCCTTCAATTGGGCGTCTAGGCTTTCTTCGATTCAGAAGACAAAGGCCTCCTGTTGG